AAGAGGAGATCGGGGACCTCTCTCTTGAGAAGACGCCGAATCCTTATATTCATCGTTTTGGTCTGGCAGAGGACTCCAATGTCCCTATCTTCACCAGCAAGACCAAGTATGCCGCGCTCATCCTCAATCTCGGCAACATGAGCAGGGGAAGAAAGCGTACCGCTCCTAGCTCCGTTGCTAATCACATTGACTGGGACGATGCTACACCATCTAAAGGAGCCTTGATAAAATCGATTGCACAGTCGAAGACGCATTTGTTCATGCTCTGCGAAGCGGCTAAGATCGATGACTCCGAAGAGGCCTTCCTCAAGTCACGCGGTTGGCAATTCCTTCGTAACGAGTCCAAGGACCTGATGGTGGGAAGTCGTACAAATGGTGTCGGATCTTCGATCACACGTCTTGCCGGCTCCACTCTCAGTGGATATGCCCACGAGTCCCTTCCAATAACCTATATGGTCGCGGAAATCGTGTATGGCATGACGTTACCGACCGGTCTCCAGGGCAGTCGTGGTGATGTTCCAGATGAGTCACTGACCAAGGTCTTGGAGCGAGCTGGATCCGACCGGCTGAGAGTTTGTGTCTTCCACCTCCACAACGACGCGGCGGCAGACAAGGTGGCGTTGGCTCATGAAGTGTTGGGCAACATGTTCATCGACTGCTTGCACTACCAAGTCGACCTCATCGGTGGCGACGCCAACATGGCCCTCTACCGGGCCACCGGCAGAAAGCAGGAGTCGATGGATATCCGTGGCGGGATGTACCAAAGCCTTCTCGACTACTTCTTGGAGGCATGGTCAGAAAGCCCAAAGTGCCCACACCTCTGTTCGCCTCGTGCGAGACATGTGTCAGCAAACGCCATGTGGCTTCTGAAACAGTATGAGGACACGCTGGGAATGCCATACAAGGAAGCTAAGCAACCAGACTGGAATACCTTTCCTGGTTTGGATCCTGTTATGGCTACAGTCATGGAATGGGGACACAGCATGTCGGACGATCAATGGGCGGAGTTTCCGTCTTCAAAGACTGAGTTCGACATCCATGTCTCTGAGTGGCTGTTAAACTCCACCAGCGCCGCGTACCTTCTCAACGATCGGGACTATGACGCTCACACTCCGCTCCTCATCGAGGTTCACGCGAACCAGTACTCTGGAGGCAGGATGAGAGCGCTCAACCGCAATCCCGACACCGTGAAGGAAGCCGCGGACAGAAGAAAAGAGAGACAGAAGCTGAACAAGGCGCGTGGTTCTGGTTCTACTGGTCCTGCAGCCGCACCACAGGGAGCAAGCTCTTCTCAGGAAGAGGCAGCTTCTGGTGCTAAAGCTTCTGGTTCTCAACGTCCTCAAGAACCCGCACAACCTCCTGGTGGCAAAGAAGGCGGCAAAGGAGGCAAGTCCTCCAAAGGAAAAGGCAAGGACGCCGACAAGGGCAAGTCCAAAGGCAAATCCAAGGACAAGTCCAAGGGCAAGAACAAGGGGAAGAACTGACTAGGTTCCGATTCTTCGGACGTGGATATGGACAATGGTTCTGAAGAAGCTCCTTTGGAACAAGTTGCAGACGTTGCTCCAGATCCACAGATATCGCTACCTAGATCCCCTGCTGATCCCCGCGGTTACGACCCTGTTCGTCATCAGCCGGTGATGCCGATTCACACTGTCGACATCTACCGTTGGCATGGTGAGGATCATTGGCGTGATAGAACCTGGGATGCAGACCTAGAGTTCGTCGACTGAACTGGCTGTGTGTTTCACGGAATGCTTCTTTCATAAGAAGGTATCCACTTTGAGCATTCGCCATTTCATAGGGAGATGCTTTTCTCAGGAAAAGGGACTTCCTAAAGAACTCTTTCTCAAAGAAAGATACTTATCTCAGGATAAGATACTTCTAATGCCCTTATATATTTGCCTTGCCGCAAGATGTCATGCTGGCATCAAGTAAAGCTAAGCTTTACACCTTTATGTTACAGTATGCTTTCCGCCTGGAGAGGGAACTGAAACACAAGTGGGCAACTTTCAAGCAAAAGTTTTCAGTTGAAGATCCGTTTGCGTTTCGTGCGTGTTCTGCTCTTTTCATTGAAGCTGTCTTCAGGCTAGAGATGTATAGATTCTCTTCAAGTCGCAGATGTAGCTCAATACTCCGCTAATTCGACCAAGAGCAATAACAGGCTTGTAGATTGCCGACTCCACGGCCATGCAGCTCTACGTGTTTTAAATTTGTGCCTGGTTGAAACACTGAATGTTACACATCCAGGTGCCTGTCTGTTTCACGTATCACTTGCATGTATCCATGCCTGTTGCTCAAGGTTCTAGTGCAGTGGACTACAGCTGTGCGCCTGTAGCAAAAGAGACACCTGAGTGCCTGTGTTCCTGTACGCCTAGCGAGGGGATACACGTCCAGGTTACATCGGGTCGTGGGTGTGGGTGTGGGTGTGGGTGTGGGTGTGGGTGTGGGTGTGGGTGTGGGTGTGGGTGGGGTGTGGGTGTGGGTGTGGGTGTGGGTGTGGGTGTGGGTGTGGGGGTGGGTGTGGGTGTGGGTGTGGGTGTGGGTGTGGGTGTGGGTGTGGGTGTGGGTGTGGGTGTGGGTGTGGGTGTGGGTGTGGGTGTGGGTGTGTGTGTCTGTGGGTGTGTCTGTGGTGGTGGTGTGTGGGTGTGTGTGGGTGTGTGTGGGTGTGTGGGGTGCGGGTGTGTGTGGGTGGGTGTGTGTGGGTGTGGGTGTGGGTGTGGGTGTGGGTGTGGTGTGGGTGTGGGTGTGTGTGGGTGTGGGTGTGGGTGTGGGTGTGGGTGTGGGGGTGGGGGTGGGGTGGGTGTGGGGTGGGTGTGGGTGTGTGTGGGGGTGTGTGGGTGTGTGGGTGTGCGGGGTGTGGGGGTGTGGGGGTGTGGGGGGTGTGGGGGTGTGTGGGTGTGGGGGTGTGGGGGTGTGGGGTGTGGGTGTGTGGGTGTGTGGGTGTGTGGGTGTGTGGGTGTGTGGGTGTGTGGGTGTGTGGTGTGTGGGTGTGTGTGTGGGTGTGTGGGTGTGTGGGTGTGTGTGTGTGGGTGTGTGTGTGTGGGTGTGTGTGGTGGGTGTGTGGTGTGTGTGGTGTGGTGGGTGGGTGTGTGTGTGTGTGTGTGGTGTGTGTCTGTGGGGGTGTGTGGGGGTGTGTGGGGGTGTGTGTGGGGGTGTGTGGGGGTGTGGGTGTGTGGGTGTGTGGGTGGGTGTGGTGGTGCGTGGGGGTGTGTGGGGGTGTGCGTGCGTGCGGGTGCGGGCGTGTGGGGGTGCGGGCGTGCGGGTGGGGGTGTGCGTGGGGGTGTGCGTGGGGGTGTGCGTGGGGGTGTGTCTGGGGGTGTGCCTGGGGGTGTGCCTGGGCGTGTGCGTGTGCGTGTGCGTGCGCGCGCGCGTGGCCCGACCTACTTTGGTCACTTTGTTGGTTGATGCTCTACCTGTGGTCTTTGTGTGGATGCTGTGCTTTAATCACTTTGTTGGTTGAAGCTCTACCTGTGGTCTTTGTGTGGATGCTGTGCTGGCCGATCTGCGAGCACTAGCCTGCATGGCCTTTGTGTGTCTAGCAGGGCGTCGTCCTCCTGCATGCACGCTGAAGGCGCACGCCATGCACCCCAGGAACGGGGTGGCACTGGCCCTGTATAGCGTCAACGGCTGCCCGGCGTGGCGACGCGAGAGCATGCCGGATGCGAGGACGAACAAATTCCAACCGTTTAGGTGTTCGTTGCTTCCAACTTCCAGCTGAATTCGAAGCTCTTACAACATGTGGCTGTGCAACATGGGCAATGTTGCGAGCGCTCGCTCCACAGCGACCGCGATCTTCGTTGCTGGGCCAACAGACGCGGCGGAGTGGCAGGCTTCGGTGTCCCAGCGGCCACCAAGCTCAAGTCCACCAAGCGACGCCTCCTGCCGCGGTGGAGCTCAGGGTGCGGCGTGGCTCCCGTGAAGCGGGGCTGCCCAATGTAGCAGCGGCCGCTAACTGGGCACCACCCCAATGTCAGAACGAAAGGCCGCCGCGCATCTGCATAACGTGGCGAAAAACGTGAGCTCCGGCCTCCTGGCCCGACCTCTGCACTCCAAGCAACGCAGCGGGCATCACCGTAGCGCATGCTCGTTCTCTCTATATCCGTGGACCACGCGGGAGGGGGACATCATCAGATGTGGGCGGAACCCTGAGAGCCTGTACCGGGCGGTAATGATTACTGGGACTGGGTGCAAGCCGCAAGACCAGTCATACCAGTCGCCCAAATCCGGCTCACTTGATTGCAGCGATTCAGAATACATTTTGGCACCGAATCTGCACATGAACGATGCTTTTCATTCCGGAGACGCACGTCCTCTAGGTGTGTAGATGCTGTCTCAAACAGCCGAACTGCATTTCCCACAGGACCCGGATCGATGTCGCAAGGACAACGGCTGCCTGCTGCCGCTGCCGCTACTATACTACTTACTCCAGTAGACGATGAGGCTGAAAGCCATTCGCTGCAACACGCTCAACAACACATATACACATATACGCTGTCTTAACAGGAAAGAAACCAACTCCGCTACAACATCAGATACGCCCTGAGAAGCGCTTTCCACCAGCACATGTGGACGCCGATCGATGCGTAAACAGGTAAAAATCTGCTGGACAGCGGAATCTCATACAATCTCATAACACGGTACGTAATTGGAACTCGAGGCCATCGCGGCTGCAAGTCTTCACGCGATGAGCTTGCAATGACCGTGTCAGCGGCGGAGTGTGACGAGCGGTGCGAACCCCGTAAGTGGAGCGATTGTTGTCTGTCTCGGTCAACCGCGCGACACACGAGAATACCATGTAGCAGGTGCAAGACGGCACACCACTGACGACTCGGGATCATACATGTGTGGGCACCGGGCGATTCTCACACCGTGAAAAGCATGATCAATTCTTTATGATATTGTGCGAGCGGAACGATGCCTTCGCTGTGTGCGGACAATTTTCATGGCAGGTCGTGCGACTGACGGCGTGTCAACATGCTGTCGCTGGCTTGCTTCATCGCTCATTGGCCAGCACTGTCATGTTGCCTCAAACCTACCAGGGTGTGCAAAGATTTGATTGCTCTTGGCAGCTGTCCGCCCTCTGGCCTCGACGGTGGCCCTGCACGGACATTTGCTTTTCGAAGACTATGCCTGAAACGTTTCTACATGCCGGACATCCTGGCCCTACTTTTCACTCAGGGCCCAGAAGACAGCTTCTTGGCTAGGGTTGCGGCATCTTCCCAAAGCTCTTCCGCGCACTTCACGGCCTGCACAACTGGATAGGTCTTCCCCGCACAAAACAGCAAGAAGATCGGTGAAAGCCTGCGTTAGCGTGACGGGGCGCTTGGGCTGCGGGTAGGGTTTCTCCGTGGAGTCCAGGCAATCCTGATCAAAGCTTGAGCTGAACTTCCCTCTAAAGGCCAATCGATTCTCCTCCAGCTGCTCGCGCTCGTCCTCGCTCATGTCGCTCAGGTCTTTGCCCTCTGCATCAGACAGCGGTACTTCAAATCTCTCAAGGCATTAACATTAAGGCATTAATTGCTCTAAACGCTGCAGAGGAGATGCGTCCGTTCTGCGGACGGTGAATGACATATCCGGGTGTTCAAAACACGCTCTGCCGCAACAAGCTAGCAACCAAACTGAGCACCAATTTGCTCCTCGCTGGGATGGGAGCGAGAGCTTCGTATCACCTCACAGCTTGGGAGCAGCTTCAGACTCGTCCAAAACTTCAGGCCGGGGGCGCCTCCAATAGGCCACCATCCTCTTCGAAGTCAGAAGGCTCCTGCGCTACCTGGCGATGGAACTTCCGAATCCCCGACTTCCCAGAGCTGTTTCAGTGGTCTTGGTCCCTAGAGTTAAGATTTGTGCAGAGCTTCTGTCGGTCCTCACCGTGACTGTAAGCCCTGTCCAGCCTCTGCCTCAGGAACCCGGAGCCACTGGGCTCTGTCTGCGTTCCAGCCTGTCCTGGGACTTCTTGCATTTGATTGACCCCGTGCTGCGGACTTGGTGTGACCTGCATTTCCCTATGCTCGTCTTTATGCATCGATCATCGCAAGCTGGCCAGTATGCCTGCTCCTGTCGAAGGCAGCTTGGGGCACTCGCTTGCCACAGCTTTGGCCAACAGGATCAGGATGGCACAGAGGGGGTTCAGAGCAGACCTTAGGGGTGAGGGCAACATCCTCCCGAGTTCTGAGAACTCACATCACCAGAAGTGGGAAGCGTGCAGGGACAGGAGCAACCGGAGCTGCGACTTCCTTGTCGTCGTAAAGCCTGCAGCTTAGACGTTACTCAGTTACTCTCGTTGCTTAGTTCGTCATTTCTGTTACAGATGTGATTGTAATATTATTGTCCTCGTGCTTTTGCATTGCTGGTGTGATCGTGAGTGTGACATTTACTGCTTCTGTCACTGTCAAGGCATTGGCATTGTTATTGGTCTTGTCGTTGTACCTGCTGCCATTCTGCTGTTGGTGTTGCGAGTGTCATTGCTGGCAATTAACAATACCATCATCGTCCATATTCTTCATGTTATCGTTACTGCCATGGCTGCTATTACTACGGTAACGGCTACGATCATTGCTACTAAGCCGCTGCTGCTGCTGCTGCTGCTGCTGCTGCTGCTGCTGCTGCTGCTACACTACCACTACCACTACCACCACCACCACCACCACCACCACCACCACCACCACCACCACCACTACCACCACCACCACCACCACCACCACCACTACCGCTACCACTACCACTACCACTGCGACGACGACTACTACTCCTGCTCCTGCTCCTGCTCCTGCTCCTGCTCCTGCTCCTGCTCCTGCTGCTACTGCTACTGCCACTGCCACTGCCACTGCTACTACTACTACTACTACTACTACTACTGCTACTGCTACTGCTACTGCTACTGCTACTGCTACTGCTACTGCTACTGCTACTGCTACTGCTACTGCTACTGCTACTGCTACGGCTACTGCTACTGCTACTGCTGCGGCTGATGCCACACCACTACCACTACCGCTACCGCTGGCTGCGCATACCGGAGCCGTTAGACATTCCTGTCCTGATCGAGGCGGGCAAGCTGTGGCGGGAACAAGTGGTACAGAAGGACAGCAAGATCCGAGATATGCCGCTGCGCCAGGCCTTGTTTTGGAGCCTCATGGAGTATGTGGGGAACACCCTGGAGAACATCACGGAGATCAAGCAGGCCAAGGGCACTGGGTGTTCCAGCGGTGGAACCCGGAGCTCAAAGCTCTGACAATCAAGCAGGAGACTCTGCTACGCACCATCAGCAAGGATATCCAGAAGTTGACCCATCGCGACACGCTCTCCCGATTCCTCATCCTGCGAAACCTGGAGCCGGAGATGGCGGGCCAGACGGTGCGGGTCATGATGCACATCGCCCTGCGCTGCCCCGAAGCCAACCAGTTGTACGAGCTGATGAAGACGCTACAGGGCAAGGCCTCGCTTCAGATCGTGGGATTGCAGTTCCGCCAAGCCACGCTCCAGCGACCACCAGTCATCAAGCAGCTGATGGAGCACGTGATAGCACGTGTTCGGTTGAGGACACTCGTCCTCAATAACCCTCGCAATTACTGCTACCCGAAGTCCGCCGTGCACGCGCTTCTTTGGGCACACGTTAGCCCCACTGCAAGCCCCCAGGATTTTGCAGACGAGATGGGGTTCACCAACACTGGCTCGCAGGCTGTGGCGTCTTGCTTCGCCTCCCTAATAGACCACAGTTCATTCCAGGCATGTTGCTTTGGCGATGCCTGCTTACGGGCTGGGCCCGAGCCCAGAACCAACATGATTGCGCTGAATTTCTGCACTATCTCAGTCTCAGGCCCTAATCCATCATTGGCACACGCAGTCATCAGTCCATCGCTTACGCACCCGCCTAGACTCCTGGTTTTGCAGTTTCCTAGATACACGCAGGGGCCCCATGGAGCGCACAAAAATCATGCATTCACCTGGCCCCGCACTCTGAACATACCGCTTTTCACAGCAGCAGGTCTTGATTCGTGAAATGTTGTGTACACGGTGGAGGCTGCCATCCTGCATGCAGGACAAAACGCATCACCGAAGGACACTACACCACCCTCCTTCATTCCACAGGTGCCACGCTGTTTTGTCAAAAGAGCGTGGCACCTCTTTTGTGATGATGGTGCCGAGCCGCGAGCACTGCCGGAACACTCAGTTCTCCGAGACGGACCCAAACACCAGTCGCGCGGGAAGTGTATCTTTTGATTTGCAGGCGCGGGGAAGCGCAACGCAGCTAGGCCGGCTGTTTCTACTTTGCCAGCCTGACTTGCAGTGTATGCTCGCCAGGTAGCCGTGGGGCCTGGGGGCCCCGCCTTGGGGCCGCTTTATTGCAAGTTCAGTGAGCGGAAAATCCTCAATAGTCTTCGTTTTTCCCGGCTGCTGCATTCCCTGCATCTTTCTGTGTACAGTCCGTATGCCTGCCATTCTCACTTGTTGCCACCTGCCTGCCCACACTGTTGATCCCAGCTCTCACCTGTTGGCCCACACATGTGCTCTCACATCACTCGTTTGCACGTTCATTGCATTGCATTTCGCGCGCACGCTCTTCCCGCACAGGCCGGCTCACAGCTCGCCAGTAGTCCGCACACAGGTCACACCCGAATTGGCCCACCCGGCCTGAATCAGTGCCTGCCGATATGTATGCGCACTTGAGCTCCCCTCCATTTTAGGAGCTGCGCATCCGAGCTTTAGACGTCGCAGCGACTCACTCACCCGACTCGCTGCACAGTGTGGTCTCTCGCATTAGTGACCCTCCAACCCCGCACGCCCCGAGCCCTAACTCGATCTGCTCCTGCGCCCCGGTTCTCCCTACACCCAAACCTCACTTCAGCAGAACCTGTTACGGAGGAATGGAATGTTCAGGAGGGACAGCAACAGCAGCAGCAGCACGTACTGGACTTGAGTCAACACCAGCGCCTGAAGCTGCCCACCTGTACCATCGCTCTAGACGAAGGCACATCTCAAGTTACGCGGGACCGCTACATTGCCGAGAACCAGGCCATTGCGATTCTTGCAGCTGGGGTGGCAAGTTTTTCGGATATTGCTGAACTATTAGACACACTTCCGGACCGGGCCACGGCGAAACGGCGGAGGACACTCAGCGATGACATGCAGCGGCGCGGCACTTCTCAGCCGGAGCTTACACCTTTGCGCATGACTCTGGTATTCAGACCTCTTCGCGGCTATATCCGTATGTGACCAGGGCTCTCACAGCTATCGTCGGCGCGGCTAGTGGGTCCGACTTCACGTTTTCTTCACTCATGCTGCAGCGGAATACGATGGCACAGCTTCATCGCGATAGCCACAATGCTCAGGAATCTACCAATGTGATCGTCCCCTGCTCCCGTTGACGGGGCGGTAGCCTCTGGATTCAAAACAACGCCGGTGCGCATGTTTTGGACAGCGAATCGGGCCCCGGGACGATGCATCGTATTGGCTGGCCTTGCTGCATGTTCAACCCTCACTTGAGACACGCGACTCTTGCCTGGTCGGATGGAGATAGAGTGGTTATCACTGGTTACACGGTTCGTTCCCTGCACAGACTGACTGAAATCGATCGCCAAGCACTGGCAGACTTGGGATTCCGGCTTGAGCCAAGCGAAGCAGCGCGACAGTAGCACCAAGCAAGCACAGCTAGGACATGCTGTGTGCTCGCTTGCTGGTAGGTACGGGCCATTGGGTGTACGCCCGTGCTGAGCATGGTGGAAGCGGGGAAGAGCCCTGCACATGTGCACGCTGGACCCTTATATGTATGCGCATCGCCACTGGTGACGATGCCGAGCCTTGGTACGCCATAAGTAGCGCGATGCTATATGCATCCAGTGAAGCACAGCTCGCCGACTTAGTTCCTGTCGCAACGTTCGGACTTCTCCTAACTGCGGTGCAAACACCCACTGTGGCTACACTGCGACGACGACTATTACTACTACTGCTGCTGCTGATACTACTGCTACTACTACGACTCGGACGACTAGTACGACTACTGACTACGACGACACCTACGACTACTACTCCTGCTAGGAAACATAAACCCTCAAACCTGAAAACTGCCTGAAAAGTGGCTTAGACGCAGCGCGCGATACGGGCGCCGTCACCGTGCTACAGTGGAAGGCGCCACATCCAACGTAGCACAGACTTAACCCACTTTGTTCTTGCACGTAAAAGTCTGGGAGTTCCGGTGCAAGGGAACTGATCACTCCACTGTATCTTTTTCCCAGCCTGCTGGTTCGCACCAGCAAGTACCATTACCATTGCAATTTCTCTCAAAACTAGTACTAATGCTCAAAGCAACCTCCGCCCCGGGCCTAAATGGTCCACCCACCTGCCTGCCCCTAAAATTGTATTTTGCTTCCAAGCCCCTGCGACATCCTGCGACGATGAGATTCTGGCCACGGAAATAAGTGGGCTCGAGTAAACTGTGTGCACCCCCCTTCGGCCCACACTCGTCGTCTTGTGATGTGGAGACTACTCTTCACCTGCAACCGGGCCGAGGCGGACGACGGGAAACGTTTACAATCAGTACTTGTGTTCATACTTCTTGTCGTTCTGGGCCGGTGTTGCAAACCACCACTAGTACTGTTACTGGTATACGTATAAGGACTACTGCTGCTCCATCTTTGCTATAGTCACCGTTGTGTCTATTGTCATCGTTCTCATCAGTGTCAGCGTGATGAAAGTTATGAATATTATCTCATTATCACAATATCTTTACTTTGAGGATGATACTGGGGCTAGCTTGCACAAGTCGTGGCCTGCCCAGGATGCTGGAGACTCCGGAGACTCCGGATTCAAGCTGCTCTGCGAGAGCCTCTTGGAGCTCCTTCAGTGCCAAACGGACCTGGCGTCGAAAGTCGACTGCTACGGACTCTCCCTCTTCTGGACTGCTCTGGGCCTGACGGTTCTGCGGCTCCAGCTTCGCAGCTTGTAAGAGATCCTTCCTCAAAGCAGCGCACTGAGTCACTGGAAACCACGGAGACTCACTCTGGCGCCCGGCTTGGCAGCTTGCAGTATAGGACGCCCGTCACCCCTGTGATAAAAACACTCTGCCGGGAATCCTGGACCACCAGTCTAGACCGTACTTGACACGAATCTGAGGCATGAAGCTCGCGCTTGGCAAGGATCTGTCGCGCGCAGCCACGCCGGAAGAGTGCCTTTTCATTTCACAGATGAAGTTCACACTCGTGATCGAAAAACGGCGCCGGACATGTCCTTGGCATTGGATGGCTGCCGTGCCAGCACTTCGCTGCAGAGATCTTCGACCTCGAAGGACGAGCTTCCGAATTCTTTCAATCCGTGTTTCGCGTCGTGTGACCCACTGGCCTCCTCAATGTGAGCTCCTGTGCGCAGCAAGCTTGCGGCCAAGTTCATCCGAACCTGAGCAAGGGCATTACAGGCAGCCGTGTGCTGAAGCTTTGCAAGAAGAATTAAGCTCGTTGAGTGGGGCCCCAGCGGGTATTTGCAGATCCTGGCGTGCTAATACGGCCGAAGTGCTGCAGATAGGGTGCCAAGTGCCAACACAGTGGGGGGGCTGCCTAGGCGCCCCCTGAATATCCTATGCCAGGATAAGTGCTTCGAAAGGGGGTTCGGCGAAGTAGTTCTGAATCGCTGCTTGTTTCGGGGTGAACATGTGGTGATGTTGTATATGAGTAACAACAAAAGTCTGGCCAACGTGCAAAGACACGTTGCTTACAACGGTGTTTTTGTAGCAGTCAGTGGTCAAAACTAGCACGAGAACTACGCTTTTTTGTTGCAGCCACAACGTGATTAATGGAACGCAAGCTGAGAGGTTCTGAGGAAGCCATACTGCCATTCCATGTCTCAGCAGGCTCAACGTTGTGATAAAATCACAGCAATGATGGCCCAAGCATGATGATTTCCACGAGTCCATGGTCCAATCTTTTGTCATCACGGAACATCCCAACCATGATCACTGACGTCCATGCCTGTGTACTTACTAATGCGTTCTGTCTGTCTGAGAGCATGGCTCAAATGTGATGATGTCCATCATCTAATATACTTATGCTAGTAGTAATAATAATAATGATAATAGTAATAATAGTAATAATAGTATTAATAGTAACAATAGTAATAATAGTAATAATAGTAATAATAGTAATAATAGCAACAATAGCAATAATAGTGATAATAGTAATCATAGTAATAATAGTAATAATAGTAATAATAGTAATAATAGTAATAATAGTAATAATAGCACTAATACTAAAAAAAGTAATAATAGTAATAACAATAATAATACAAATAATAGTAATAATAGTAATAATAGTAAAAATAGTGATAGTAGTAATAGTAATAATAATAATAATAATATAGGGGTATCCTATACCCGGTTCTACAGGGCATTCTCGGGGGGTCGGGTAAGGCCACCCCCCTACTCAATTGGCACCCGAGCAGAGCATCGGTTACCAGACTCGCACCTCAGAACTGTCCAAATCTGCCTTGATTTTGGCCAACGCCTCATCGGCACGAACGATTTGGAGTTCTACTTGCGGTCAACCGAGCTCGACTCTGGGTAGACCTGTGCGTAGCATTCAGCTGCGGCAGCAAACTGCTGCACCTGTGCAGAAGCGGCAAAGGCACCATGCCCAGCCCTGCAAAGCCACTGATGTTTGGGTAGCCTCAAAAAGCTTGTTGCCCTTTTCCCGCAGGCTGCAGGGCGATGTCTCCTTGCTAGTCCGGGAAGTCTGCCACAATGCTCAGCAGGTACGAGTACCGAAATGCCATGACAAGGCCTGCATGAGCTGGAGATGTTGCTCATGGCAGGAGCAACACCACGTACTTTGGCCCCCAAACGGGTTCTACCTCCTTGGGGGGTCCAAGCTCTGAGTAGAGCTTATGTCTACAGAGTCGTATCTGTTCGGGCGACAAGGTCATCAGTCCTGTTGTGCTTTTGGAAACGAGGACCGTGCTTCTGTTGCATCACATCCGGCCAAGAGTCCGTCACGGGTTTATCGTGCAAGCTGCATCGGACTCCCTTCTATCACTCTTGCTTTCGAGTGCGACTGTGCTGAACGAGTGGGTTTTGAGCCCCACGGTGCAATCTAGATGGTACGAAGAGTGCATGCTGCAAGCAGAGCGGAGCTTGCTTTTTGGTCCTGCGCTACGCATCATCCCGTGGCTACTCCTTCCCTCCCGAACGAACGAAGAGCCTGAAGAGCGAGGGAAAAGGCAGAGGTGAGCGTCTTGGCAGCACGGTCAAACCCCAAAACGGATTGATGGACTCCGATTTAGTTGCAGCTGGGCGACAGTCTTAGTAGCCGACCACTGGCCAAAACCTCCTGCAGTGCCTCGCAGTCTTCGGTCAGCTCCTTCCGTTGCCGGACATGCACGTTGATTACTATTTGATTACTACTGAGGGCAGCAAAACAGCAAAACTACCATTTGTTTCGACCGGGTCCTTGATGTCATCATCCACGAAGAGCCCTGTGGCCTTCTCCTTCTTTCTTCAGCTCAAGAAGATTAGCTCCAGCCTCGGGCCTCGCCTCGCGGCCCACGTTGCAGTCCGCCAGCAGCTGCAAGATGAACATCACCTCGGATCAGCTGGAAAGCGCGCAAAAAAACGACTCTTGGACCCTGCCTTGGACCGGAAGCCTTCGCGCTTGATGCTCCGAACCTCCACGTTTCCACGAAGGCCTGGCTATAGTCTGATTTTGGTCGAAACCCAGGCTCGAATGCACGGGCAGAGCATGGAAGCTTGGACATGGCTTAGACTTTTCTTGCGCGTCCGACAAGCAAGCCGACAGTTCAACATAAGGAGGGCACGAACGCGACACCATACAAGGCATGCAATGGGAGGCTTCTGCTGCATGCTCAGCTGGCTGCAGCTCTGGGAACGGGTGCGCCGGGCTGCCGCCATGTGCATTCTCAAGCATTTTTCAGAAGATCCTCAGGCATCATCATGGAGGCTGCAACTCAGCAATCAAACTAAGAAGCAACTGCCGCCCTCTCGATTGAAGCCAGCTGCCAAAATCTCCTGTGCCCTGCGCTGGTTGTTGCACTGGAGTGCCTTGGAATGTTGTGGCTATGTAAGGGAACACCTCTTTCCGAGCTGGGAAAGCGGCTTCCAGTAGCTGCTCCTCCAGTTCAATTGTTCGAGGGCTGGCTTTGTGTTCACTGCCTGACATGGAGCATCGGTGCGCAATCTCAAGTGCTTGTGCTCGGCACCTTCCAGTGTCTCACACACCGATGACAGCGACAGCTTCCTGGATGGATCCGGCGTGTCCTCCATCCTGCGACGTGACATGAATCCCAACAGAGATCGAGAACAGGAGTCTTCCGGGAATGTCCTGGGGAAAGAATAGTCCAGCGATGCACACAAGGCTCCACCAACCTCCCGGAGGATTGCATGTGGCAAAGCCTGGCAATCTCCATTCGCAAGTTTGCCAAAAGGATCCAAAAGGCCAAAAGTCTCGAAGCGCCAGGCAGTTGCAAGCCTCGAAGGGCTGTCCTCCTGCCGGCAAGCCGCGCAGGTCGCACCTTACAGGTGAGAGAAGGCAGACAGGGACGAAAAGAGCGACGAGGCTTCCGAGGGCGGCACAAGCACACCCCTGAGTATGGGTCGGTGACGAACAGAGCCGCTTCCACGTCTGGCAGTACGAACCTACATGCGTGCTTGCGGAGCTGAGGACATGCTACTACTGTTGAGCAAGCGACCTGGCCACATGCCCCGGCTGGAGGAAGTGCTTTCCATCAGTGCCTGCTGCAGCTATCAGAGGCTCGCTTACCAAGAGCTGCAGAGATCGACCTAGGGACACGTTCACAGTTCGAGGGCTTCGGTTGAAGACCTCGCAAAAAGAGAACCGCTACAAAAAGCTGATGGCTGCGAGCCGTAAGCGGATGAGCTACAGTCTCAGGCTGATAGGCTAGCGGCCGTCAGGCTCGGCGCTTCTTCCCGGGTGTTTCTCGGGCGTAGCCTCTCGGATTCACCACGGCATCGAATTTTCTCGTGCTGAGATCAAACTGAGGATGCCACAATCTGCTCTGAGCGTGAGGAGTGCAGTAGACCTTTCAAGGCTCAAGGCTCCAGAGGCTCATGGGAAGCTTGCGTCCAGAAGCGCCCCAACTGCAATGGCAGGCCAAGCCTTGGGGTTGATCTGTGGCCCCGGACCAACGAAGCCCAAACTCGGTAGGGAATTGCAGGGGATCCGCTTCCGCTTGGATCCGCTTGGAGCTCGGGTCTCTGCCAGTCTCAGCATCCGACCTTTGTGGGCCCATTCCGAACCATTCCGGGGCAGTTTCCTCCTCTCCGCCCGTGCTAAATGTGCTGCCAATCACGGTGATGCCATCCTGTCAACGTAGAGCACCCCCCCCCAGTCACGGGTTGCAGGTGCTTGCTTCGCGGGCCATGCCTCCGCATAGAGCAACTCTCTCTTTGGCTCGCCAGACGAGGATTGGCCCATGGCTTCCGTCGGATCGCATGAAGCTGCTGCGCGTCAGCTGGTCTTTGTGTCTAGGCCTCCTAAGCTGCTGTGCCACTCATGGCTGCTAGTAGCAACCACAGCACTGCACCACCTGCATGTACAGCCGACGGAGCCCAAGCAGCTCTGGCAGAGCAATGCGGGACAAAGTAAGCACAGGCAGTGCTTCAATTACAACACTATTACAACATTACAGCGAAGGCATGCTTTCATAACCGCACCAGACAAGACGGTACTCGACAAGGGACGTTCATCGGACATCTCGCACAACTCTGCCGGCGCAACCTGACGTTTCCGAAGTGCGTGGCTGGTCCTCAGTCCCCGGCGATGATCACAGCACACTCATGTGAGTAGACTCAGCCGGCGTGACCTCCTTCAGACGTGCGCTGATTCCGTGTTGCCGAAGGAAGAAGGCGATATCCTTTCAGGGGAAAATCGGGGAAAGACTTGGTCACATGGACAGACTTCCAAGTGCACATGGCCGCCGCGGGTCCTCGCTCCGCGAATTCCGAGTCACAATGTACACGCTTGGGTGCATGCCACACAGTGCGACCTGATATCAGAAGCGGCTTCAGCACGCAGGAGTGCTGCACCAGAAAGCCCTGTGAGGCAACTGCCAAATCGGAGTCCAGTGAGTGGTTCCCAGAAAGTGGAGAGGCTCCGGCCTGCGGGTCGTCAAAATCCCAGCACTTCCGAAACGCGATTGCAAATTGCACTTCTAAACCTTGGTCGTGCATAGTGTGCGGTCAAAGTCGAGAAAAATCAGGTCCGGCTGATGCTGCGCTGCCGTCTGCCACACCTGAGCCATGAACGCATCGCAATGCCTGAACTCTCTTTGGGGGCGGCATGGGGCGGCCCACATCTTCGCCGTCCCCGCGAAGTAGACAGCATCGTTCGCAAGACCATTGCTCGCAAACAATACCTTCCAGGAGTCCAGAACGTGCGCTTTCATGGACAAGACGGAAACCGCTGCAATCCGGCCGAGCCACAGCGCGAGTCATGCGGGCAGAAGCTTCTGCTGCACCGTGCACCCCCGTAAGGACATCGCCTGCAACCGATGCAGACTCACGAGGATGACAGAGCTCCCAAATCTTTCCCGAGGTGGATGCCCTTGAGATCGCAGCTTCGTCTCACACAGAAGGCATTGACCCCTATGAAGCCAAAGCTTCGACAGTCGCACCTTTGCTAGGACAGCGTTTTGTCGAGGGTCTGTCTGTGGCAAGTACCGAGAGGCTGAGAAAGTGACTGAGCAGGTTTGGCAGGCATCGGGCCGCTTTTCCTGGCAGAAGCCGCATTCATGTGGGTATTTTGTCGCCTTCTTCGCCTCAACAGAGCACCTCCTCACCCAGACAAGCTGACTTTGGCCAGCCCGCAGTGCTCAGTTCAGACAGCATGGCCTGGCCAGAGCGAGAGCTCCGCTCCAGCTGCTCCAGCTGCGCCATGAGCCGCCACGAGCCTCGCGATGTTCTCCCCGGGCTGCGCGGTGCCTCTGCGCAGTGCCGGCTCCCGTCAGCAACGCCGTCGGAAACATGGGCAACGGGCCGGCGCCAACCTGGCCTCGCCAACACGTCTGGGAAGCCTCCAAGAAGATGCGAAAGAAGAATGCGACAAAAAGACATCCTCCCCAAAATTGCGACTGCGACTGCGAAAGAAAACAAGGCCAGCTTCCTCGCCTCGAGGCACGAAGGCGGCGGCACCACGAGCTCCCGAGACCTCCAAGCCACGGAGCCAAAGATCGCACTATAGGCACTAGGTTGGGTGTGCGGCGCGCTGTCTTGCGGCCGCCGTTCTCAGCGCTGGACGAAGAGCCTCGAGGCGTCGCTTCCTCGGAGGGCAGCACTCGAAATTCTCAGCTCTCCGCAACAGAGCGGCGCTGAGCGGCGCTGAGCGGATGCGGCCGAAGGCTCTGATGTCTGCGATGGGATCAAGCCAGCGAAGGAGCTCGGACATGACCTGGAATGCACTTTGCAGTGAGCTTCTTTGGGGCTCAGGGGCTTAGGGGTTTGTGCGGCTGACAAAGGCGCTGGCAGAGAGCATGCCCTGCAGCACAAGCCGGTGGCCTGATGAGCTCCAGAATGCTCCAGAGAACAGAAAGCTCTTCTTTGATCGCTGTCTAGCCAGAGATCGAATGGCATACGTCGGACGCCCGTCAACCACACCACTCCACCACCCTCATCGCTCCGTCCCTGAACCCCCACCAACTCTCACCACTTGTTAACCCTGGAAAAATTTCAAAGGAAGGCTCTTTGAACCTCCAAGCCCGAATCCCCGTCGCCGAGGCCCTCCACCCAATACCTACATGGACCTACATAGTGTCCCTTACATCCTACCAGCCCCGACCACGCTCACCGCCCAGCCATAATGTAACTTGTCGGGTTTGGACGGTTTCAACCGGTCTGTTCAGACAAGCCCTTAGTGCATGCCCACACCCCCCGTCGCCATCCGCGGCGCCCCTCCCCACGACAGGTCCGGATGCCTTTTGAAGCCTTCCTCCCGCTGAAGTTCCTATGTTTCGGCTTTTGCCGAGCAACTTCAACCAGCAGACTAAGATGTAACAAGCATCATGGTTCATTCATCCACAAACAAGCTGTTGGTGAAGGTGAAGAAGGCATCCCGTCAGGCGAGTCGCGGGCACCGTGAAGGTGGAGCCCTGCAGACAAAGCCGTGTCACTCAAGTACTCCGCCGAGTCCTGGGCTCAGCTGCTGAGGACAGCGCGCATCAAGCTCAGTCCAAGAACGATTGAGGACGTCGCATAGCCGTCTCCCTTAACCAGTGCCTCAGATCGGGGATGCGAGTCTGCAAAGCGAATGAAGACAAGGCAGCAGCAAAAACTCTGCAACATGCGAACAAAGAAAAGCACTCAACTATCTGGGAGTCAGGCACTCAGCCGACGCTCAAGGCCCAATGCCTGCTCCTCGACCTTCCAAAGAGCACGAGGCATCAGAAAGCGATGCCTTCCCTCAAAGCAGGCTCTGCGTGCCTCACGAAGCGCAGTGATGTATCGACGGAGCGCACCCTTTAGTGCAGTGGCCTCCGGCATGAACAGGGGGCTAATCACAAGCAACCTCTTCACACCTCGGGTACTTTACTGTACAGCTCCCTGAAAAGTGGAAGCTATGTCCAGCAATCAAGAAGATTGGAAAGGCACAAAACTGCATCGGAGAAGCTGCTGTGCTGCAGGCAGTGCTTTAGCCTTTGTCCCTAGCTCAACCCTTACGTAGCTCCGAGGTGAATCGAGCAAACTTCCAAGGCACCTTGACAGCCCCGCGAGCAATCAGCACCAGCTCCAAGTAGTGCAGAGCGTTCCTTCGTCAGGAGAGGGACCAAGGTGACCAAGGGCGGGAGAGTGGAAGGGAGCGACCCGTGAGAGGGCCCCGACGCTGGCAGCTGCAGTTCCTAGGCAGGCGGGCCGGGGAGAGACTTCCTCGGTGTCTCTCTCTCCCTGCTTCGGTTTCACTTCTCGCCTCGAGAGCTTCAAGGAGCTTCTTGAGCCCAGCATGGCCTCAAAGGGAGCAAGTCGCAAGTCGCCGTCGCGTGCACGCCGTGCACATCGCCCCCCCCCCCGCCCAGAGCCCACGGCCTAGCTCCGACTCGACGAGGTCCCGCTCTGAGCGCCAGGCCCTTTTCGCAGAAGACTGCAGAAAACTTCGAAGTGACTTTCTTCTCTCTTCTCTTAGCTCTCACTTTGTGTGAAAAGCCCAGCCTTTGCGACTTCGCAGGCTTTGCGGGCTCCGAGGAAGAGCTCTGGAGGCCTTCGCCGTGCATGGCAGCGAAGTAGGCGTCAAAGGCCTTATAGTTCTCCAGGAAGAACCGGGCCTGTTCCACAACCTTCCAAAGCTCGAGGCTTTCTGGCAAAGCTTCGAATTTCCACGGCACTCCACTTGCGGGATGTCGCGGCAAAGCACAGATGGCTTTGCTGAAATGCCTTGCATCGAAGACTGCCGCGACGGCACCCCGGCAGTCATTCAGTGCATTGGAGATCCCAATGTACCGATGCCTCCGCTGTGCCGAAAGAGGCGGCGGCTCCTCCGAAGGGATCTGCCGGGCCAACGAAGCCTCCGTGTCCTCTTCGGTCGAGAACTTCGCTGTTGAGATTGCGGCCTTTGCTCCTTTCTCTTGCGCATCAGCATCCGCGACACGAGAATAATAAAAACTCGCGAGTTGTCGAAGGTCTTTCTCCAAACCAGTTGCAGTCTGCCAGAGATGTAAACAAAGCTTCTTGAAGTTGATGAGCTCCCTACGCACCGCCAGACAAGTCTGCACTTCCTCCTTGAAGCATGCAAGAATTCGTTGAGCCAGTTTCTCGGAAAAGGCCGCGTGCACGTCCTTTTCAACCAAACCCCAGTCTCCCTGAGAGTAGGACAGGATGTTGCTCTCCACCAAGTCCAGCACGCAAAGGCCTGGAACTGCCGTCAGCCGCTTGCGCAGCCTCTCCTGCCAGTCCTTTTCCTGCCAGAGACGCAGCTCTTGCTCCACCATTCCACTACCATCTGAGGCACGACGAGAATTGATCTGCACATGCTCGATGCTTTCGCAGACAGGTTTGCTGGGTGGTGTGCTCGTTTGAGGGGCAGTGCAGCAAGCAAACGCCTAGCATCACCACGTGTGTTCTACGATCAAGCGAGGATCCTACCCTGTTGGACTGGCACGACTGAGGAGACAAGTGTGTCAGCACACCTTGCACTCGAAGAAAAGTGGAATTGACTATTTGCGAACGAATGCACCTGTTCTAGATGTCTATCGCCTCCTGCGTTCAAGGAGACTCGGCGGTGAGACGCCCCGGCCACCGGACAGGGAGTTCGTTAACGGCTAATCTGCGAAGTGGAGGCTTGCGCAAACTCACATGCTGGCTTCAACGAGTAAGGGTCCCCTGTTTACTGGTTTTTGCACTAAGGATCCTACTATTCGGGGTGTATAGTAAGGGTCCCTGATTTCTGGAGCCCCAATACTGCTGTCGTGTACATCACCATGACGTGAATTTCTGAGCCAGTGAATGCTGTGCAAGCCATCTATCATCCGCTGTTGGAAAACAGCGGCACCAAACTTTGACCTTTAAAACCGCTGCAAAGCAGCGCAAATTAAATCGGGGCAAGCTGGCTCCAGCATGTTCTTGCTGATTCGAAGTCTTAAGAACCCAAATCTGTTGTGTAGGATCCTGCACTGCTGGGGTTAAAAGGAGAGATCTTTTGCAAAGAACTCCTTCTCGCCACCGCGAGGCAGCAAATCATTTCGATGGACTGCTTGCCTTTGCCTGCCATCATCATATGCAACTCGAACAGCACAGCACCACCAACATGCCCGTGGCAGCCGACCCCCAATATACTGCCAACTTCGACTCGCCACAAAAGGGATCAGCCTGGATTTAAATTAACGTCACCCTGTTGAAACAAGCCGCCACCTCAAAGATGCTTCTGGTCGGGACCCCTGAAACTAACGTTGTTGCACTTCAAAGTCCAAAAGCCCGGGCCTTCCTGAACTGCTCGGCCAAGCTTGGACGAGGCTCTTCTGGAGCAGGCAGCAGTGCATCCATGTCCGGGTCCGGCATGTCCGCGCGCGCAGGAGCTGCCGGCACACCGTGGGACATGCGCTCCTTCCATAGACGCTTCAGGCATATGTGCCAGCCAACAGGATTCATCTGAAACTCAAAGCCCAAGCAAAGCAAGGGTCGCTCAAACGTGTTGAAAGACGTAAACAAAGCCATCCGAGCATGCTGCAAACACTCTTGACAGTTCAGCGAGCATGGTGTGCAGGATAACCATGACGCAGCCCAGAACTGTCAAGAGCACGTCGTATGTCTCAGTCTGTTGCACGTATGTGCAGCACGTTTGCGAGGGCGCACCCAAATCCGGGAGTTGCGCTCGTGTCCGACACGAGCCAGGTGACTTGACTCCCTCCCATCCGAAAGATCCTCCGTGTCAGAGAAAATGAAACACGATTAATTAAGCAGGGGAGAGACGAGGGTCTGTAGATGGGCTGCATCCGACAACATGTCCTGGCGGTTCCGCGGCTCCCGCTCTGGCCTGGCGCCCGTTCTCGAGTAAAATCGCATCCTTTCTAGAGTCCCGCTGTGGCCCCGTTCCCGGGGACGCGGAATTCATTCTAAGGATTACCGCTTGGATTCATGAACCGCGCTCGCCGCTCCCGTGTGTATGCAAGGCGATGTTGAATGGACATCGTGCTCCCGCCCCAGTCTCGTGGTAATTTTGTCCTTTTTCGCTCGGAGTCCTTAAAATCATAGTGCAGAGCCGCGCTGTTCGCCTCCGGTTCGGGGGATTCAGCAACTCTCTGCAGTTGGAAATTGTGTGTGCTCAAGCCACAATCCCTTGCGTATCCACCTCCCGACACACGAGGCTGCGTAAACCAGAACACGGTTGTTGAATCTTCTGGCATAAACGAACCAAGAGCTCAACAAATGTCCGTAGACCACATGCAAAGTGTTTGTTGAAAATGAACGCAAGTTCATCAACCCCAAAGTCAAGTGAAATTTGCCAGAGAATCCACTCCATACAAGACCCTCGCAAAAGCTACGCTTTTGGCATCGTCATACCATCTACACAACGTCCCTTGGAGCAATCTGTAAGCTGAGGTATTGATGAAACAAGCTGCCAAGGTCCCTCGCGTGCAGATGTCGAACATCCCATTAACTAATGTCTCCTGCTGGCTCCACATAGAACTACTTTCTCAAGTTCAGTATCCCCGCTAAGTCCAAACCTTGAAAAGTGTTGCAGACAAAGGAAAATGCCTCCACACTGGGAACCGAAACCTCCTACACTTCTGAACCGCCATTCCCGCTACTTTTTGCAATAGCGTGTACATGACCATGCGTGACCACCACCACGAACAACAAGAACAACGACGACAACAAAACAACCACGACGAGCGACCGCGACAACAACAACAACAACACCAGCAGCAAGAACAACAACAGCCACAGTAACAACAACAACAACAAGAAGAAGAATAAGAAGGACAAGAGCAAGAATGATAACAATAACAAGAATTACAAGAAGAACAAGCATAGCAAGAATGACAATAACAACAAGAATCATAAGAGCAACACGAACAACACGAACATCAAGAACAACAAGAACGAGCACGAGGACAACAACAACGACGACGACAATGACAACGACTACACCAACGATGCCATCAATAACACTAACACCGAAACCAACAACAACACCAACAACAACACTATCCACACCAACACCACCAACACCAAAACCAGCACCAACACCCACACCAACACCACCACCATCAACAACAAAACCACCACCACCACCAACAACAACAACAGCAACAACTACAACAACCACGACAACAACAACAACAACAACAACAACAACAACAACAACAACAACAACAACAACACCCACACCACCACCACCACCACCACCACCACCACCACCACCACCACCACCAGCACCACCACCACCACCACCACCACCACCACCACCACCACCACCACCACCACCACCACCACCAACAACAACAACAACAAGAACAACAACACCCACACCAACTCCAACATCCACACCAAAGCCACCAACATCACCAACAACAACAACAACAACGACAACGACAACGACAACGACAACAGCAACAGCAACAGCAACAGCAGCAACAACAACAACAATAGCTGACAACAACAGCAACAGCAACAGCAACAGCAACACCCACACCACCAACTCCAACACCAACATCAACACCAACCCCAACGCCAACGCCACCGCCAACACCAACACCAACAAACACCAACGCCAACACCCACGCCACCACCAAGACCGCCAGCAGCAGCAACAGCAGCAGCAGCAGCAGCAACACCACCAACAGCAACAGCAACAGCAACAGCAACAGCAACAGCAACAGCAACAGCAACAGCAACAGCAGCAGCAACAGCAGCAGCAGCAGCAGCAGCAGTAGCAGTAGCAACAGCAACAACAGCAACTGACGACAACAACAACAACAAACACAGGACAGCAACGAGAATGACAGCGAGCAACGAGAAACCACGAACAACCACAAACACACCTCAAACAAGCGCGAGCACCCACCATCAACCACCAACAGCCACAACACTGACCCCGATGCCAACGACGACGACGACGACGACACGAACACCACGACGACGCCGAATTTCAGTAGTACTGCTGCTTTCGGCTGTGACCATGTTCCTCCCGAACTTGATTAAAGATGTCTTCTCTCCGCAACTGTAAGGATTGGCGTGATGCTGAAAATCTGTTTCTTGCCCCAGGCGCCTTCCGGCACTGCTCGGCCAAGCTGTGCTCTGCTTCTCGGGGCGGTGGCGCTGCATCGCTGTCAGCTGCCGCAAGGTCCACACGCGGCTTCGGCGCGCCCAGCACCCCATGGGACTTGCGCTCCTGCAGCCGGAGTTGGTATGCATGCATGACAATGCATGACCGAACCAATAGGCTTCTCCAGGTCTGCATCAATTTATGCACAAAAGCCCCCGTGGCACGTGAGCGTGCACTCTCCTGAAATACTCAATAATCTCCCGAATGAGCTCTAACCCTTGTCCACAAAGCCTCCACACGAAGACTCCCTTACTATGGTGCCGCCTAGCGTTCCAGGATTTAGGATAATTCACTTCGCATTTCGATTCCAACCGGTGTTCATGTACGTTGGGTGGTCAGCCGGCGAACTCAGACTACGAGACTCAAAAGAAGAGGCGAGTGGCACGATTGTTACATCGGTCCCAGATTACGTGCCATAAATGCTCGAGATGCCGGTTGTACTCTGGCGACTGGCTCAGGTGTGGCTAACATAGGTTTTTCGCCAACACCTATCACGCAAGACGATCTGGTGTCGTTTCGGTCAGGTCATGGTCGATGCCTACTACTCTCTCAGCACACACAATGCACACCTGCATCGTCTTCGTGCTCGGAGCAAAGGCCGCTTCCGGAGACGGGTCTCCGGCAGATTCAATTCCTGCGGGAAACCGCGACAGGAGGGTCTCCGGCGCCATCAAATCGACCTGGGAGCGAAATCGGAGCTTCCTTAATCGCGGGCCTAAGGACCTCAGGGCCTCACCTCGAGCGCCGAGGTCTTGTGGCTCTTTGTCTGCTCTTTCCTCTTCTTGGGATCCGTCTTCCCCTGCGCGAGCAGGAGATTTTTCGAGATATTATCATCACTTCGCTGCGGCCGTCCTTCCGGAGAAGACTGGGTCTTCCAGTAGAAGTTGTTGCTGCTTCCATGTCCTGCACTTCACAGCAGCTCGATCTCATCATCCGGACATCCAAAGCCGCAACCCAACAGGAGGCAAACAGCGACACAAGACCCCCAAGATCCGCAAGATCCATGGTTCAGCAGACTCTGAGGTTGAGACTTGGCATCTTGTCAGGAGGTTCAGGGCTGGTTCAGGGTTGCCGCTCGTGAAGTAGCGAAATGGGGAGACTGGCCTGCAGGGGCACGGCCAAGAAGGAGATGCGAGGCTCCTGCACCTGCAGAACGTGTGACATCTGGTCACCCGGCTGATACACGCTGAGTCCTGTTGTGTGGTGCGGCCCGCTGCACCTGCATCGTCTTCATCTTCGGAGGAGAAATTTCCGGAGGCTCCGAAAGCTCCGCTCCGCTTTTCGCGCTCTTGGCGCTCTTCGCATCTGACACGGATTGCGGCACCTGCCGAGTGCCACGATGGGCGACAGTCGCGGTCACAAATTGCGGAGCAAAGTTGCAAGCTCTTCCGGCGCACCTCGAGCGTTGAGGCCTTCTGGGCCTTTTCCTGCTCTCTCTTCTTCTTGTTGTCCATCTTGGCCTGCGATAAGCATCAGTTCACCAGCGGCCGAGGCCGTCACTCTCCCACCTTCCACAGCAGATTGGCTTTCGTAGCCGCATCCATGTCCTACAAGACAAGGGTACGCAGAGAAGGATAGCTAGATCATTAACACGGCCCCAAAAACCGGTGCAGTGATATGTGCATCCTGCTGCTTCTCGCACAGCCCGTCCTTGCGAAAGGCTGCCAGCTTGCCGAGAGTCTCTGGTGCAGGTGTTCGCGGCTTCTCGGCAAAGAGGTCGCAACAGGTCTTGCTGAGCTCCTGGACCTGGCAAGAGTCTACGAGCCTTCGGGCCTCGCATCCGACTGACTTACCGCTTCACCTGTTGCGTTGATGCCTCTACCTTCGCACTCTTGCAGCAGACGCGCGAAAGTTAGCCCGGAAGCTCTGGTCCTCACTCTCCGGTCCTTCTGTCGCCCCCCCCCACCCCACCGCCGTCCAAAGCTACGTCAGAAGCCACTTGCTTTTTCTAGTTGAGGCCCCTCGAGAAAAAATCTCTATGGCTGCAACCCGAACCCTTCCCAAAGCCATTGAGAACTTCCTGGGGCGCGCGAATGGGCGAGGCGAAAGCGAAGGTGCCTCGTCGGACTGCTGCTGCAACTTGGAAACACGGAGCTTCGCCTCTGCAAGGAATCTGCGCATCTCGCTTTCGAAGTGTTCGCCAAACCGGCTCGGCTTCTCCTCGCCCTCTTCTCCATCACCTCGGCTCTTCTGAAATCCGCCGAGGCCACAGGCCCAGGCGTCTTGGGGGTTACCTCAAGTATCCTCCACCTAATCCCCCTCCCTGCAGTCCGAAGTTTCCTTTTGCATTTTGCCACCCCTTGGCCCGGCTGCCCTTCATTTTATCTGATTTTCGGCCTTCCCATCCTTCCCCCCCCTGACCCCCTCTTTCCCTGCTGTTGTTTTGCCTTGTGCCTCCTGAAACCCTGCGTTGCAGCTGTTCGTTCCTCCTCTGAAAAAGCAGTTCTACGGCGCCCCGCACCTAATATAGCCGTGACCTGAACAGATTTCCTGAGTGATACAGAACCTGCACCTGAGGAGCCGAGGCGGGCGGCGTAGCGTTAAAATTACCAGGATAGGGGCAGCAGGCAGCAGAACGGCATCCTCTAGACTATAGTCGCTCGCTCTATATACACCCTAACTACGTTGACTTACAAGCTGAGCTCCTTGGCAAGAGCCCAGGTCGCCTGGAGGTCCCAGAGCTTCTTCCAGGATGGCGAGCTGCTTCTGCATCTCGGAGAGGCGTCGCACGGATTCGTCAAAGTCCAACTTTGAAGCTTCGTCACAGAACTTTAGCTCCAGCATCGCTCCCGCCTTAACATCGAGATCGACTTCGTCCATAATGAATCGGAGAAGAGAGTATGCCTTGCCCTCAAACCCTTCCACTCGGCTGAGCAGAGGTAGTGTGTCCAAAGTGAACCCGCGCTGGGCACCTTTGTTTGTACCATGGTTCAGGTAGTTGCCAATCTGCATGATCACCGTGAATATCTTGCGCAGATTCTCGCACTTGCACGTATCCGTCAGAGCCGCATGCAGAGTCGTAAGATCCCGTTCCACCTCGTCGCACTCAGAGGAGAACATACCCCGTGTCAGGCAGCACTCCGCCCTCACCTTGAAGTCAGAGATGTCCATAAGCTGGATGAGGAACTCCTCGGCACGTGCCCAAGGCAGCACCGCGGGATCATTGCCCTTCTTGAAGTCCATTAGCTCTTGGAGCTCATCGCCTTTGGGGTACAGCTCGATCACCTTCGATAAGTTCTCAGCCTCAGCGAATCGGAGCGAGGCAACCTCACACGATGCAACCGGGAGTAAACTCTACAGCATTAGAACTCCAACTTGCCACCATATGCCCTAGAAGCACATGAATGCACCTGTAATCTCAGGACATCACGTTCAAAGCCTTCTCAGAGGTGTCGAGATCCAAAACGCATCTCCGCACATGGTCGATATTTACCCCACAGCCATTCAAGAAAATCTCCACAGCTTGGCTCTTCTTGGGAGGTAAGCACTGTGCCACGGTCTTCTTCCTGGCCTCTTTTTGGTCCTTCCCTGCAGCATCTGGTGGCTCCTCCTTACTCTTGAAAAATGTGCCGGTCAGCTTCTCGAGCAGCGTGTGCATCTTTGGCTTTCTCTCCGGCTCCTGCTTCGCATCTGCCTGATCATCGGGCTCTGCTTCAACATGTTCCGCCTTGTTCGAGCTGAGGCTCTCCACGATCTGCTGAAACATGGAACCAGCAAAGCGAGTGCCCACAACATTCGTCCAATGAAACTTCTTACCAACCAGGTGCTTGGGAGGCTCCGGACCAGGATCAACCTCGGGCAACGCAGTCTTGCCCTTGCCTGCCGCCTTTCCTTTCGGGCCTCCCTTCGGCGGAGCAGGCTTCCCCTTCTTCGGGGCCGCGTCTTCAGCCTGCACACTCTGGGAGTTCTCCTCGCCGGAGCTTGGCCCTGGTGCGGCCGCGGCGGGTCCTCCTTTACCAGGTGGCATCGGTGGACCTTTTTTGCCCTTGCCCTTGCTCGGCACTGCACTTGCCTGAGGAGCTGCATCCTGCGTCACGCTGGGCTCTTCGGCGTTTCCTGGCGAGGCCTTCGCGGGAGGCGGGCCAGGACCTTTCTTCCCCTTTCCTTTTGCCTTCGGGGCCGGCGCGTCCTCCGTCGCCTCAGTCGCCTCAGTCGCCTCCGTCGCCGTCGTTTCACTCGGCCCACTGGTCTCTTCCGAGGCCTTTGGTGGAGGCGGACCTGGACCTTTCTTCCCCTTTCCTTTCGGTTTGGGGCTCGGGGCCTCTGTCGCATCCTCGGGTGTCGGAGTGGGAACTGCGGCTGGTTCAGACTCGCCTTGAGGCATTGGTGGACCCTTCTTAGGGGGTCCCTTCTTGCCCTTCTGGCCCTTGCCACTGGCACCAGTAGCACTAGCACTGGCAGGCTCGGCCACGGAATCTGCATCCTCTTGGGTCTGGGGAGGACCGGGACCTGGACCTGAGCCTTCCGAGTTGCTTTGCTCGGCTGCTGGCGGCTGCTCTCCCTTCTCTCTGTCTCTGTCTCTGTCTTGGTCGGCCTGCAATGCTTCCAGGGTCTGGATTTGCTTTTGGGCTGCATCAAGCTGTTCACGAACCTCTCGCAAGTGCAGGTCTTGCTCAAGGGACTGACTGCGCAGCTTGGCTTCACTGTCCTTCGAAGCTTCCAGCTGAATCCGCAGCTCCTCCTCCTGCGGGGCACCTTTCGACGCTTCCAGCTGTAGGCGGGCATCTTCGAGCTCTTGCTTCACCTTGCGATTCTGCTCGCATTGATCCCCGAGCTGCTCGAGCACATCGTCCAGGTCGGCCTTCAGCGCTTTTGTTTGGTTCCTCTGGAAGCGCAGAAGCACTTCATGTTGCCCGGAGATGCGCAAGCTCTTCATGTGCCATTCCAGTTTCTTGCTGCCAAGCAAGTTCTTCAGTCGCACGTTCACGTTCGCATGCTTGTCAGTAAGCTCAGCCATCGTGCTGGCCATGCGGACCGAGCGTCCCATGGCCCTCTGCATGAGAAGCAGAAACTTCCGCAGCTCCCTTCCAAAACCCCTCCTGTCTAGCTCCTGCATGAGGCCGGTATGCATCCGTGGAAAGAGTTCTAAGGAAGTCACAATGTTGGTCATGTGCTCTTGCAACTCACCAGTGACAGCGGTAGCATCTTCGCTGACCCTGTCCGCTCCAACGAAGAGAGATTCAAACGTGTTGTCCTTCATCAGTTGTGCGAACTCCTGCTGCCCCCGATCATCCAAGCCGTAGGAATCATCCGACTCCGCGTCGCTGACAGACTCCGCCTCCTGGGCCTCTGGGACTGAACCCGCCGGCGGCCCTTTGGTTTCTCCTTCGCCACTGGGGAGTGCCGGTGCGGGGAGTGCTCTCCGCAGAAGTGAGAAGGCAGGCAAAACGGTGCTGCGCTGCAGGCTGTGGACGAGCGACAAGACGCCGTATCTCTGCTGATTCGTCCTGAATTGCTCACGTTGCTCCTCCAGCTCATCGGCAAGCTCCTGATTCATTCGTTCCTTCTCTCGCAGCTGTCTGGCGATCTCGTCCCGCTGCAAAGACACTGACTTGTTTGCTTGTTCGAGTGCTTCGGCCTGTGTCTGCAGGCTGTCCCTCTCGTTCTGCACCTCCAGCAGAGCTGCGGCACGTTGCTTCAGCTGCTGGTCGAGATCTGCTTGCAAGCGCTTGCGCTCAGTCTCCCCCGCTTCTCGAATCTCTGCCAGATGCCTGGTCATCTCATCGAAAGCGAACTGGCTCTGCTCTCGCAAGGCTTTGGCTCTTTCGACTTGCTGGACTCTTCGCGGCTCGGACTCGGATGACTCGGCCGGCGCCTCGGACTTCTCCTCAACCGAGCCCACTGCGTCTCTCAAGGCCTGAACCTCCACCTCCTGCGCATGCAATCGCAGTTGCAAGTGGTCTCGCTCGGATGACACAGCTTGAAGCTGGACACGTGCGTTCTCCCTCGCATCCTCCAGCTCCTGCTCCAAACTGCGCTTTTCGCTCTCTAGAGAAAGCCGAATTGCTTTGACTTTGGAGTCAATCTGAGCCGCCACTGCCTGGTGGTGTGCCTGTCTGTCACTCTGCAGAGTCGAGAGTTCCTTTTGAAGTTGGTCGAGCTCTTCTTTGTGTTCGGCCTGCATTTGCTGGATCTCCTCGTTGACGGCATCCAACTGTTCGTTGAGAGCGTCATTGGCGGATTTGAGCTCGAAGGCTTTGGACTGGTATTCTCGGAACTGGCTCAGCTGCTGGCTGGCAGCCTCCGCCTTCGCCGCGCTCTGCTGCGCCTGCTCCTTCAAAGCTTTCACCTGCTCCGCTAGCGCCTCGTTCTGCTCCCGAAGCGGTGCAGTACTGCGTCGCAGCTCTTCCAGCTCCTCTTCCAATCGCTGGGCCTCGGCCTTGCTGGGCTGCGAACCACTTTGGGTGCTTTGGCGCTCCTCCAGGTCATGGAGGAGTTCCATCAGGCGGTTCACCTCCGGGCTCTTGCACGGGTTTAGGCGGTTTAGGGCCTTAGGGCTTGGCTTGACCCACCCGGGCCCACCAAGCGCCTCGTTGTCCTTTGCCGCAAGCTTGCTCTTGCACATTTCCTCGGCGACCTGGCAGAAACTTGGGGGCAAAGTGCAAAGTCCTTGAGGACATGATGAAAAGGACGGATCTCAAGCACTGGCCTCTTCAATGTACGTCTCCAGCGACCCTCCTCCATCTTTGTTTTGGTTCTTATTGGCCTTTGACCTGAGAGCTCTCGCGATCTGTCTCGGCAACGTCCTATGTACCATTCAGCCAGGTGGCAAGATGTTGATCGTCTGGGACTTTGCATCAAGGGCAGATTGAAGGTGCTTGATGGTGGTAGCTTTCGACTCGATGTCCTGATGGTGCACTAGCTCAACAGAGGCATGTCTGTGACCTAAGGAATCTGATCTGAAGGACCGCGAACTGAAGACTTAGACACAACTGCCCTGCAGAAGCCTTCCAGGCTTTTGCCCACAAACACTTGCAGATGTTCTTGCTCTCTCAAATCTTTCATATGTTGCCTTGCTGCCTCACAACTCTCAAGCAGTGATCCACATTAATCCGTAAACTTCAGAACCCATGTGTAAACGTCTGTGATGTGCACGACGGATCCGTCATGATGCTACCAGCATTACCAGCATGGCACTTTATTGGCACGGAGATGCCAGGCCTTCTGCAAGCTGTGTATCGTGTGCTCAATCGAGGACCGCTCCATTCCGGTCATAGCGGGAATGAGGATCCACAAGAGCTTTGAAACTATGTGATTAGATGCTGAACAGTTGCTGCAAGAAGGACTATCACACCCAAAAACGATGAGCGAGATGATTGGTTACAAAACCAATTACTCTGTGTGCACGGGAATCCCTATCTGTACTTTGCATTGCACCAGTGACCAGTGTCCAGGCTTGCCGGGATTGACATTCCGTGGCTCGGTACATGTCCCCCTTACGGATAACCAGACTGTCTGTGGCATGACATTATTATGTGAACAGTGCCATTGCACACCTTGCGCGGCCTTCAGTCCCGTGCCTCCCCCCTGGTCGAGCAGTGCAAATGTGACATTCCGCCTCTCGACTATCCAACCAGCTCGTAAAGAAGATTTGTGCACCACGCACAACACACGCAAGGATGGTATGAGCACAACTTCTTTTCAGAATGTGCGCAACGGAGGCTGACGTGTCTGGCCCAGTTCAAGCTGCTGCTGCCTCACAAATTCACGAAGTGAAGGGATCCCCAGCAGATGACTGCACAGGATTCCCTGCGCCTGCGCAGTATCTCCTCGTGTTCGGGCACAGGGAGGTAATAGTCATGCCCTGGGCCCGGCAACGAGCAGAGAAGCAAGTCCAGCTGCGTGCATGCGTGCCTTCCACGGACTTTTTGAGGCCGGCGCACAGCAGCCCGTAGCAGATCTGCCGGCCTTCCATCGCCCGGAACCTCCGACTTCCACGGAAGGCTCATGCTCCGCTCCGCTGCGACGGTGCCTCCTCTGAAGCACCCGCACGGCACGCCACCAGAGCACGGCCAGGACCAGGCCCAAAGTGGAGCCCACGGCCACCTCAAGCGCTTCGGTGAGGGCTTTCTGGGGAGGCGCCTGTGGCTCCCCTTCGTCGGGCCTGGTTTGGAGTATGGTCACATAGGACCACTCTCATGAAGGGAACAGGCACCTGCAACCAGCGCTACCGCGCATGAAGCATGCACGGACTCGCTCCGGGAGCCGGTACCATGAGGAAGAACCAGAAGAGGCCCTCGGCTTTCAGGCATCTCTCGCTTATGAAGTTCTGGCAGGCCCTGTCTTCGGCTTATGAAGTTCTGGGTGCCTTATGCTCCAGGAAGCCTCTGAGTGATGGTATGTTACGGCCCTTACATATCGCCGACCCCTTGTAGGCGCCGAAAGGACCTGCTCAATCCACCCATTGCTGCAAAGTTGCCACCTTACAAACCTTTGAGCAGGGCCCCCTCCAGCCAGCATAAAAGATATGTGGGGAAGCAAAGCGCCGTGCTTCTGAATCCCGCCAGTATTTGGGCGAAAATATGTTTGGACGTGCCAGAACGTGGGGGAAAGCATTCTGGTCGCAGTCCCGAATCAGTGGAAAGCCATGTGGGCCGTGATCCAAAAAAACCCTCCAGCATTTGAATGAAGAACCGGGCGTGGTCTGGAATCCTGTAAGCACTTGGGGGACACCTTGAACCTTTCCGTTTGCTCACAACTACGTGCGAACAGACGCTGGGGGAAATGGCTCAAGGTAGCTTGCATTTGTGAAGAGATCAGCATCAGTAAATTCAAGAGTTCTGAGATCCGAAGCGCAGAAAATGTTGGCAGGGCCAGCAAACTTCGCGGAACAAAAATTGCACAATCGCTGCTGACTCATCCAGATTCCACTGGCTCATTCTGAGACGCCATTTCGGCAGCTATGTCTTCAAGCCCCAAATACTGCTTCAAGAAGTGGGCGCTGAGCCCTGAAGGTTTAAATGTAGCAGCGACGCTACATGTGGCTTCGCTGTAGTTGGGTTGCGCGATGGAACTCAGAATGCACGTCATTCATTGTTACGGTGACCTCGAATTATAAAATTATACATCATGTGCATACTGGGCAAAACAGATGCAGTGAACTCTTAACGCATGCATGCCATTATGATTGGGCCATGGATGCTGTGAACTCACTACACATCAACCATGCACGTCAATATAAGGCTGGGTCATGCATGCTGTGAACTTCTGCTTCATGTATAGACCATGCAGATCATCATGTTTGGGCCATGGATGCTGTGAACTCACAACGCATTGCAATTCGTGTGCGTCATGCATTATAAATGGATGGGCCATGGATACTGCATGGGAGTTCAATTGCGTCAGACCATGGAACGTCATCATAGGGTTGATATGGGCTGATGCTGTGATAATTTGAATGCGTTGGCCCATGTCCATGGATGTGCCAGGCGCCCCTGAACCCTGGACTTAACAACCCGGGCCGCAGCAATCGGAACGATGACGTCGAGTCTAAACCCCGCGTGGTATGGGGCTCCCCGCCCTCAGAGCCCTCAGTGCCCTCTGCGCTCCCTTAGCGCCCTCAGCACCCTCAGCGCCCTCAATATATTTAGGACAATGTGGACTACGAAGTTTCAGTGTCTGTTTGACGTGCGTTCTCGTGATGTTTCTTCAGTTGTCAGTTGTTGAAGGCAGCACTGTATCAAATAGCCCCCCCCTCCAACGGGAATCTAACGGATTCTAGGGACTGCGCCACGGGCGGGCAGCGCAGGTAGAAGCCTGAAGCAAGGCCAGCGGCCCCGAAACCCGCCATACCGTGGGGAATGGCTGCAAAACGTGTGCGCGTTCCGAGAAGCCTCCGGGTGAGGGCGAGCGCGAGGCCCGATGGAGAAACGAAGGTCCGATGAAGCAGGGTCGGCGGCGGCACAGGCGGTCGTGGCTTTTGCTTCGCAGAAACAAGCTCATTCGGCTGAGCTAAGCTCATAACATACAGGGCAGAGAGCGCTGCCCGATTTGTGCACATCCTCGGTTTGCCGCGCCTTCCGCTCGTTGCTGGGTTACAGCCGCTTTGTGGTTGCGAAAAATGCACACGCTAATTTTACCATGGTTTACAGATGTGATGCACAAAGACGGCGAGCATCACGAGCGTCAGCTGGGGGGCGACGCCTGAACCCTGGGCCCCGGACGGCCAGCATCATGAGCATCTGCTGGAGTTTTTGCCGAGCCCCGATTGGTTTTCGGTTTTCACAACGCTGCGACAACCCAAGTACCGTCGCTTTGCCAAGAAATTGCCGCTGATTCGCCGTAGGCCGTAGGCGTTCTCGATAGACAGTATGCACAAGAGAGGATCACCACATCTCATGGCAACAGACCGTCAAAGGCAGGCCACATTGTTATTGTTGAGAAGCGCCTTTGTTCAAAAACCCCCAACTACTCAGCTGCTGTTCTCTGTTTGTACTGCCATCGTCACAAAGAGGGGCATACCTTCTGCACATATGTGTTGATGCCCAAGTCTGCAGAAGCTTTGGCGACCCAGCTGCTGTCAAGGCACAAATGAGATCAATTCTCGCACGTTCAGTACATCTTTCTTGACCCAAGGAACGAGACCTGGGATGTCGGTGCTACAGCTTTATCCTCTCAGAGCTGCTGAGATACTACACATACCTACACATCTGCATTCCAAGTTACAGAAGTTCCTTGGCTTCCGCGCAGGGATTGTCACTTACAGCATCATGGAGGTAAGTTGTACAACAGCACGGCAACCGGCAACCAGCATCCTGCACCCAAGGCTGCCTTGCTAGTTGAGGCAGCTGAGCAAACGCTGAAGAAAATGCATGCAAAAGAAAACAACGCAGGAAAGAGGCTTGAGACGGATGAATTGATTGATGCATCTTCGCAACTGAAGGATAGAGAGATTAAGTGTACAGTTAATTGCAGGGCAATCTCTGATTCCAAGACACAGTGATGATAACGCTTCTTTTGTGTCTTGAGCCAAATATCGGTGATAACGTCTTCGAGTGAAACTGCTTCAAGATGATCTACATAAGAAGGGCCTGGGGGCTCGTGTTTTCTCAACTCCCCCCTTGTAGACAGCGTGAAACAGTTACTTACAGGAAACTAGTTCTACTGCGAGGCACTCGGAAACCTAACTCATCTAACAACTGCGCTTCAGACGGTTTCAGTTCAGCTGGTGCTCGAGGCGTAAACGCTACTAGCACAACGCGGGACTGAAGTGGCCCTTCCCATGGCACAGTGCAGTGTCTAACAGACGGCTGGAAGAGTGCAGGCAGTTCTTGAATGCGACCTGGGCTATTGCAATCACGCTGTGGGCATTGCTGCTCACCAAGTGGATCCTGGACCCATATCTGACCACCCTTTACCTTGGTTAACGGGTAGACAAAGTTGTACGATCCTGGATCGTTGTACTTGTCAGTGTGCAAGTCAAACTGACAACCTTGGTAAATCGCTACAGCAGTGAAGGTTAGGTTCTTGGCCTGTTGCCGAACGAACCTTGTGAGGACACGCGTAACCCCCCTGAACTTGGACGTATTGCTCCTTAACCCTACTATGCCACCTCCATGTGCATACGCTCCGGTTGTAAATCCCTTACCCTCGGAAGAGACAACTGGGCGAGACGAAGAATCTGGAGGAAGAAGGTGGAACAGCTGCAGAATATGATTTTCTGTCAGTCTGTGTGGCAGGATGCCGGCAACAGACTCAGGATCAGTATCTGCAAGAGGATCTTCAGGAACGAAGTTCTGTGATGGAGCAGCAGGTATCGGGGCATTTGCGGAACCCTCAGACAGGCAAAGCTGTTCCAGCATGGATGGCCACTCTTGGGGGCTAATCACTTTCGTGAACCCATTTGCTCGTTGCTCCGTCGTAGGGCAAAAGGTTATCTCGACGTGCGGCTCTGCGAGTCTCTCACAGATAGACGCTACGTTGACCCTGTGCACCCTAGGCATGTGGCGGAGTTTAGCAGAATAGCCCGCCTTAAGAATAGAAATCACGGTATTATTGTCTTGCCTATAAAACACCGGGATCTCAAACCCAAGGATGTCGCCTAAATATTCTTGAAGGTTTTCTACCTCTGAGAACATGGCGGTCGCGAGAGAGATCGTTTCGGCCTCTGTCGTGGACCGAGCTGTGGAGGACTGTTTACGCGATACCCAGTGAAGCGGATACGCACAGTCTCCGGTCTTTGCAACGACGAGGATTCCAGTCGTGCTTTTCGCTGA